AATAAAAACCATATGATCTGGAACTTCCCTGGTGGCGCAGTGGTTGAGAGTCCGCCTGCCGATGCAGGGGACACGGGTTCGTGCCCCGGTCCGGGAAGATCCCACATGCTGCGGAGCGGCTGGGCCCGTGAGTCATGGCCGCTGAGCCTGCGTGTCCAGAGCCTGTGCTCCACAGCGGGAGAGGCCACAACAGTGAGAGGCCCGCATACCGCAAAAAACAAAACACCAAAAAAAACCAAAAAAAACCCATATGATCATCTCAATAGATGCAGAAAAAGCTTTTTTGACAAAATTCAACACCCATTTATGATAAAAACCCTCCAGAAAGTAGGCACAAAGGGAACCTACCTCAACATAATAAAGGCCATATGTGACAAACCCACAGCAAACATCATTCTCAATGGTGAAAAACTGAAAGCATTTCCTCTAAGATAAGGAACAAGACAAGGATGTCCACTCTCACCACTATTATTCAACATAGTTTTGGAAGTCCTAGCCATGGCAATCAGAGAAGTAAAAGAAATAAAAGAATACAAATTGGAAAAGAAGTATAACTGTTATTGTTTGCAGATGACATGATACTATAAATAGAGAAGCCTTAAAATGCCATCAGAAAACTACTAGAGCTGTCCCCAGGAAGATCCCCCAGGGTCCTGCTCAGTTTCATTTCTTCAGGGTGTTGTTTGTTTAGGAAAAGGGAAAAATTAAATGTCAGTGAGAAGGGAGAGACACTCACCCGTTAAAAAAAAAAAAAAAAACTTGATTGGGGGAGGATCTAAGTAATGCCCTTGTGAATGTTACCAAACCAGGATCATTTTGCCCAACGTGCAGCAAGCCAAAACGCTGAGATGTCAGGGTTTGCAGAAAAGAGAGGGTTTATTCACAAGGCAGCCAAGCAAGGAGACACAACAAGTCTCAGATTCACCTCCTGGAAGGCAAGGGACGCCAGGTATTTATGGAATAAAGAAGCAAGGCAGTCTGAGGCGTGGGGGCAGTGAGGATGGGTAATTGGAAAAAGTTGCGGTGACTGTCATTCTGCACAGGAGTAACTAAGCTACAGGCCTCTGCACATGCAAAAATGGAGGTGCTTAGCATGATCTGAGGGTTACCGTTTGAGTCAAAAGGCCACCAAGTGGACACGTGGGCAGGCCCAGTTGGAGGGTCAGTGGTCCTATCCAATCTTAACCAGATCAGCTCAAACTAGACACAGCTGACTCCAAGCTCCTAGAAAACAACTGGGACAAACACTGTTTAGGCTACATGCTGCTTGGAGAACATGCAAGTTTCAAAATGAATGACCTTGATTAGTGACGGCAGGTGAAATGGGTTTGACTGATAATTACCCAGTTTTACCACCACCCCCCCATCTTAACATCATTCCTCCATCTCGAGGGAAGAGGGGGCGATGACTGAATGTA